TTGAGCTCTGAGCAACAGCGGTTCGAGTCAGCCCGAGCTGAGCAGCCGTGAGCTGCCAACAGGTGGCGGGATGGCTCAGCTAAAAAAAAAAAAAAAAAAGGTGGATAAGTTCCGGGATCTTATATACAGGTCGGGGACGACAGTTAACAATTCTGTGTTACATACTTCAAAGTTGCTGAGACAGTAGATCTTAAATGGTCTCACTACTACAACAACAAAAACGGTAACTAAGTGAAAACCGAAAAACGGTAAAAAGCAAGGTGAAAAATGTGTTAACTAACCTTATTATGGTAATTATTTTGTGATACATACGATATCAAGTCATCACATTGTAGACTTTAAACTTACACAATGTTATAGGTCAATTATATCTCAGTAAAGCTGGGGGAGGGCTGCAGATGAAGTACTTATACTTAGCACAGTGTCTGATGTAGTTATGTCCTATTGTCCTTAATAGTCTCATTCCTGCCCCACCATCTTAGGCCAGGGTTTTTCAACCTGGGCAATACTGACATCTTGGGCCAATGAATTCTTTGTTGCGAGCACTGTCCTGTGCTTTGTAGGCTGTTTAGCAGCATCCCTGGTCTCTGCCCATTAGGTGCGGGCAGTGTCGTCCAGTTTTGACAATAAAACCCGTCTCCGGTCATTGTCAAATGTCTCCTGAGGGGCAAAATTGTCCTCAGCTGAGAACTCCAAGCTAGTTATTCTCCTCGTTTCAGTTTCCACATTGGTGAATAAGGAGGTGAGGCTGAGGAGGCAGAGTCGCCATCGAAAGCTGTTATTCACGTATGCGTTTGTTTATTCCCTACTGAGAAAACCAATACCAAGTGCTCTGTGCAAGACACACGGCTTCTCTTTTTACGATGTTCTGTCCTACCCCCGTGAGGACTTGGGGTTGGGTTTCCATCCTTTCTCCTGTGAACTACGCCAGGTTCTTGGAGGGGAGCTATGCAGGGCGAATGTACCCTCGTTCAGCAGTGAGAGAGAGTCACTAAAGGAAAGAAGGCCACAGGCCTGAGCTCACAAGCGTATTACCGTCGGTAGTTGGCTGAGCAGAGCCAGGCATCCAGGTGGTCCTACCTGAAGCCACCTGAAGGCTGCCCTGTGCTGGGAGACTGGGGGGGCATCTCAGAAGCCCACCTTCCCCTCGGTTCCCTGTCCAGCTGGCTGCTCCCTCCTCACTCGCCTTCAGGAACCTTCCGTCCATCAACCCCCTGCACTGCAGCTCATGTCTCTTCCCCCACTTGGGGTTCACGGGACACATTCCTGCCTAGCTCCCCAAGCGCTGGGTGCCATAACGGGACCCACCCAGCACCGATCCCTCCTGCTGCCTGTCCCCACCCCACCTCTGGGCCTTCCGAATCCTGGGGCCCTACAGGCCAGCACCACCAGCGCTGAGCCCTGCCCACTTCGCCCACTGCAGCAGCCCGGTCGCCACGTGGAAGCTCCCTCTCCTCGCCCTGCTGCCCTGCTGCCCTGCTGCCCTGCTGCCCTGCTGCCCAGGAATCAAGCAGGTCGCACACGCTGGCCGGACCTTCCCCTGATTCCTTCACCCAGGTCACCCGCCTGACCCCAGGGTTGGCGACAGTGACTCTAGTGATCCATCATTGTTCCCTCTCTCCTGGGCCACCCAGGGCTCACGGTCTATGGCTACATTGCCTATTAAATTATACTTGCTTTCCCAGAAAATGCTGTACTTGATCAGGATTTTAAGAAAATACCTATATTTATTATTTTATTGAGGATATTTGTTTATTTAGGACTGAGGACTGGCTCTCCTTTGTTAACTTTGGCACTGGGGCCCTCCTTCCTAGCTTTGAAAACAAGAATGGAAAGATCTTCATCCCGTCTCCATCTTGGCTCCAGAACCAGGTCTCCAGCCTGGTTCTGTCCCATTCTGTCACCAGGTCGATGGCGGGGACCCCAAGTCAGCTAACAGGCAGCTAGCTGGCCCACACTGGGGTCTTCTCCCAGGAAATGCTCTATCCCCCCAGCTGGAATTCGGGTCATTGGCATTTCCCTGGAGAACTCATCCCTTTCACAGAAGTGTCTGTGTTTGTTGCCTCTACACTGTCGCTTATTTTTCTTCCAGTTTTTGAGATGGCATCCATCTCTGAGGTTGTACCCTCCTGCTCATCCTCCCTGTTGTCTCGCTGCACTGACCAGACCCCCTCCTGGCTGAGTGGGGGTGGTCCAGGCAGCAGACCAAGCAGCACCGAGGAAAGAAGGGGGGCTGAGCCCTGGATGTGGGGGCCGAGGAAGGAGGAGGCTCAGGGACACCCCGGGCCTGGCTGAGCCGCTAGGTGGGTGGTGGCAGTGACCTGGCAGAGGAGGGACAGGCCATGACAGGAAGTGGAGAGGAGACCCCCACCCTGAGGGCCACCCGGGCTGAGGGCCTGAACAGAAGCTCCTTCACCCTGCCAGGGGGCTCGGGCTGACCCCTCGGGTGTGGGGGGGCACAGGCAGTGTCAGGCACTCCACGGGAACTCAAAAGAGCAGCCAGGGACTGGAGGCAGGAGAGAGGCGGGGGGGACCCCCAACATGTGCAGAGCCCGAGTCAGGAGAATAAGTGAGGCCCATATCCCTGATGTGCCAACGTTTAAAGGCTGCAAGTTCCCCCAACTAAGTCTCAAACCAAATCTGTTACTTCCTCATCTGGACAAGTCCACCTTCCCTAAGTCCTGGGGGGCCCAGGGCCAGCATGGAACCTCAGGGAAACCCCCACCATCACCTCCCACCCCCAAGTTCTAAGAGGAACCTGGAGCTTAGAGCTGGACCTGGGCCTGCTGTGAGCCTGGCCTGCTCACGCGTGGAGCCCCTGGCCCGTCGCCCCCTCACCCTCATGTCCCTGCACCAATCACCACCCCAAACAGCCACCCACCCGGAGGCAGTGCCAAGAAGAGGCCTGTGCAGGCCCTTGGGTGAGACTGGTAATTCCCGTGCTCCAAGCACACACTGTAGGGTCTGGAAGGGGTGGGTGGGCTCGCCCTTGGCCTCGGCCTCGTGGCCTTATAGGAAGGGCTGGGTGGGGCCAAAGCAGGGCCCTCCAAAGCATGGCCCCCAACCCTTCTTCCCCGGGGCTAAGCCTCCCCCAGGAGGGGAGAAGTGTAGCCTGGCGCACAACACATCACAGAAACACACCAATAGCCCTTGGGTTTTGTTTATTTTTCAATAAACAAATTTTTTGCATGTCTGGGGGTTAAGTAAACGGGAAAGCTAAAAAGAGCGCCATTGACATTTTTGAAATTTTTGGGTTACAAGAAGATCATCACGCCTACTCCTCCCTCCGACTTTGGGACCGAATTGATACTTAATGTCGCCGACAGCTGTCTTTGAGCTTCTCCGTTTGTTACGTAAACTACACACTACTCCAAACACACGCGAGGTGTGGATGGGCAGCCAAAAAAAAATCCTGACACTCTCAGCAGAATCTGGTTACCCCATAGAGGATGGAATGGACCATTTCTGCATGATGTGAAGACCGTGGCGAGGTACCGACACTGTTCTGATCTCGCGGGACGTGTGCACGTGGGCACTGCGGAATTTGGGCGGGGCGGCCACATCGTGCTGGTAAGAGACAATTAGTCACGTGGGCAGGTAAGATGGTCAGACTGTAGGGGAGGCGTCTGCTGAGGACTCTCCGCTGCTCCCACGGTATTTTACCGGCACTGCGCTTAGCTTCCTGGCCACACCTGAGTGTCGGCTCCCCTCCCAGACGGCCCCTCATCCTGCGGGACCCACAGCGTCCCCCGCACACTGCCTTGCACTCAGCAGGTGCGTGGAGATGCTTTCCTGAGCAAGTGATGGTGGATGAAGTGATGGACCGATGAGGAGGAGTCTGTCAAGGATAGACAGTGGGATGTCTTCCTTGTCACCAGGGGATGAGGCATCGAGAAAGTGGAGCCGAGAATTTGATCATTTTGTCCAATCTCAGAATTTCGCGTTTGGGAAAACTGAGGATCAGAACCATTAGCTGACTCGGTCAAGGTCTCACGTGAGAGAGGCCAGGCGGGGTGCCAGACGCCCGCCTGGCACATGCCAACAGTTCTTTTTTTTTTGTCTTTTTAAAGTTTTTATTTCAAACAAACTCAAAGTGAGATGAGATGGTGACTCAAGTGATTTGTGGGGAGGAGGAGGGACTTGGGGTGAAGGTTATCAAAGACTAGGATTGGGGGACCCAGGTGGTGGGGGTGAGGGAGGGGAGGGGTAGGAGGGCGGCAACAGGGGCTTGGAGGGGGAGGGGGCTTGGCAGTGGTGACGATGGTGGTAATGAGGGTGACAGGGTTCGGGGTCTGAAGCAACTGTTGAGGAGAGTGGGAAAAGGCAGGGGTAAAACGGGGAGGGGTTTGGAGGCGGGGTGGGAGGGGCTTGGCAGGGGTGGTGGTGATGGGACTTTAGGGTGACGTTATCTGTCAGGGTTGGTGTGACGAAGGTAGAGAGGAGCTTGGGGCTAGGATGGTAAAGAACTGGGAGTGATGGGGACAGTGGCTTGGGTGGGGACATCAGGAGTTTGGGGGAGATGGTAATCAGGCTTTGAATTAGATGACGAGGGCCTTGACGTGGTGGACCAGCGACTGAGTGTGATCAACTCGATGGTTGTGTGACGATGGTGACTCATGTCATGTGTGGGAAGTGATTTGAATGACCGAGATGATGAAGGTGATGACGACTTAGAAAGCACTTGGAACAAGGTAAACACGGCAGATAATACTCAGTAAAGCTAAGAGTATTGATTCCTATCCAAAATACTTAAGAAGCAAAATAGTCCTATCTGGTACCCAAGGGCTGTTTAGCTGCCTACCTCCAAGAGCTGGAAAGCTAAACAGACCTCTGTCCCATTTCCTTCTATTTTTGCAAAAAATATAGATGCTCTTTTTTAAAAAAAGTCAAATTCATCATTCAAAAGCTGGCTAGGTCTTTTGGGATCTGAGAGTTATTAACTCAGCAACACAAACTGAATCCAGGGCTGTGTAGGCCAGGTCTGGTACCACTTTGGCCACGAAACTAGCAAACGCCCCACAAGTGACAATTTCCACTGAACCGCAGGGAAAACCTTGGTGAGGGCTGTGTTGCTGCTCAGATTTCGCCAGGGGCACTTGTGGTTCAAGGTGCATTTAAATTTCAAGGGACATCTCTAATCTATAGGATGGGAAGCAGGTGTGGTATGGGGTGGGTGGGAAGAGGGCCGCTTAAATGGCAAGTCCAGGGACTCAAAGTGGCCAATTATTCCCAAATGGAAAGTGGGCCAGGAGGCTCCCCACTTTGAAAACTGCAGTTAGGGTCAATTTCAGAATGTCAAGTGTTCATCCAGGATAAGCCAAAACCTTTGGACCCCAGGATGAGACCGAGTCTTCATCGGATTGTAATCGTTAGGGTCTGGAACTGTTGAGGTTCATACCCCCTCGTTCCTAATTCAGAATTTTAGACAAGAGAGGACCTTGGTGGTCACTGTGTTCAAGCCCCTCTCTGGAGAGAGGTGAAAAGGCAGGCCCGGGGTGGGGGAGGGGACTCGCCAAGGATGGCACAGCGAGTTAGTGGCAGGGCTGGGACGAGGTCCTGGCCCCCCAGCAGCCAACCCGGGGCGCTCTCTGCCTAACACACGGCTGCTGCACTCTGCAAAATCTCAAATCAATCACAAAGATCTAAGGACTGCGATGTTGAACTTGAAGTGAGTGCGAGTTGAATGTGTCGTGTGACAATTAACGAACGAAAGAGATTTTAGCCCTTTTCACAGTGGTCGGTCATGCACAACACGCGTCATGGTTTCACAAGGACCCTGTGGCCGAGACCCCTCAGAGAGGGACATCGGCCCCGAGTCCTGGTACAGTTGCCATGTTTTTTTTTGGTCTTTTTTGATTTTACGTAAAGTTTAGAGATTAGAATAACATACTTATTTCTTTTACACGTTTAAAGATGAAATTCTTATTATTATTTTTTTTATCATGCATTAAGAGAGAGAAAGAGGCTTGCTTTAGCATCGTGTGGGTCACACGGCCACACACAGATAATAGAGGGAAGCATAGCGTTCACCAGATTTGACACAAAGGATAGCAAATTCCACCACAAAGATGAGAACAGACCGCATATAGAGAGCTCTGCGGGACCCCGAGAATACAGGGGGGCGGTGGGAACGCCGCTTAGATCTCCTCGTCGCCAGCCTCCTTGCTGAAGGTGGCCATGTCGATCTTCTCGGGGAAGATGATGTTCACGGCCAGGTCCTCCCCGCTGTTGTATTGCAGCAGCAGATTCTTCTTCTTACGCAGCATGTGGTTGTAGCGCAGGTTGGACACCCAGGTCTCGCACTTGTTGAGGAAGACGATGCCCATGGTGCCCAGCACCACCAGACTGGTCAGCACGCCCAGGATGGTGAAGCAGATGGCCTGGCCCTCGGAGAGGAGCGGGGTGCTCTTGTTGAGCTCCCTCATGGACACCTTCAGGACGCGGTGCTCGGGCTGCGGCACTGGCAGCTCGTGCACCCCGGGGGTCAGACGGTAGGTCAGCCCGTACCCACTGGGCAGACGGGTGACCTGCTGGGAGCCAGCCGCGCGCTTCCTGCCACAGATGGGGCCTGTGAACTCGGGCTTGCACAGACACTCGAACCTCACCTGGCTGTGCTGCAGGCAGGTGCCCCCATTCAGGCACGGGTCAGCGGCGCAGGTGGTTACCGGGCGGCTGCAGGTCTTGTCCACAAAGCCGGTGGGGCAGCGGCAACGGAAGTCGCCCCCGATGTCGGTACAGATGCCTTGGTTCTCGCAAGGGTTGGGGGTGCAGCTGTTGGCCACGATCTCGCAGAAATTGCCCGAGAAGCCAGGGGGACACAGGCAGGAGGCATGGGAGGCCCAGCCCTCGTCGTCCACACAGGTGCCTCCGTGCTGGCAGGGGGAACTGCAACACAATAGGGGACACGGGAAAAGGCCCTCTGGGGGCTAGGCCAGGACAACGGTGCTGGGGGTCGGGGGCAGGTGCTTGGACCACTCCACATGGCAGACCTACTGGGGCCTGACAAAACGGCACATTAGGTGAGTGAGGCCCAGGGAGACCCAGGGAGGCACCGGGCACTGTGACTCCTGCCTGCGAGGGTCTCCCAGCTGTCCTGGGCAGGATGCACAGCTGCTTGAGGTGTGCACCTCACCCCCGTCATGCTGCCAACCTGGAACATGCCTGACCTCCCATGCTGGATGCCATTTTCCTCTCCCACCTCTTATGTCATCTCTCCGACCAGAGGCCTGATGGTTAGTCACTGGACAGGTGGAGAAACTGAGGCTGAGAGAGGCAAAGTTAGTAAGAACGCAGGGCCGGAGCGAGCCCCCTCCCTTAACTTGGTCCCTGGGCCGCTGAGGCTGAGCCACACCGGACGTCACTCCCTCCCTCCCTCCCACCACCATCACCACCCCATTATGATTTTTATTTTTATTTTCAGTGGAGCGAGCCTGCAGGTTATTGTGCAGGAAACCCTTGGGGACTCTCAGAGTGAAAGAAATACGCGGTCTGTCTTTGCCGGCTCGAGCCGTCCGTGCCCGGCTGGTTAATAGTGCCTCATTCACCGAAGTGCAGCTTGCAGACCGAAGCTGTCTGCTCAGCGCAGAACACACGGAGCATTTAATGTAAGTGCTTTTAAACGAACAGGCCCTTTGTCATCTGATAAATGCCAAAACTCCAGGGAAGAAAGGGGCTCTAGGCACAAGAAACCAAGACTGCTGCTCCAGGGCTGCATACGAGCTGGGCTCTGAAGGAATTTCAAGGACCCTGGGCTGTATTTTGACAGACTGGCTCAAGTCTGTTAGAGAGAAAAGCAAAATATTGTAAAGGTCTCACTCTGTATTTTCTCTTCCCGCTAATAAGCAGAAATGGCACTTGGTGTCACCCCCTCTCCTCTGACCCCTCAGGGCACTGATCCTCAGAGGCCTCGTAAATGCCCATTTGTGGTGGTTGCCAGTTCCAGGGTCCTCCACCCCATCCTGCAATGCTGGGTCCAGATAAGCTGATCCTACACTTAGCTTCTGTTTCCTCAGAGGAAAGGGCACCCCCGCCCCAGCTCCTGGGCCAGGACGGGGTTCTAAGTGGAATTCTTGCTTCTGTCAAGATTCTTCCGGTCTCCGTTTAAGCCCCATCCATGCAGCTAAGCTGATAAGGGCCTGAAATGGCTGAGGCGCAAAAGAGGCAAGTGACCATTCCGTCTGTTGTGCCCACTTCCCCGAAGTCCCAGAGCCCCCACCCAACTGAGGGTAGCCGAGAGCTGGACCCCAACCCATGGCCCTTATAGCTTGTCCTCCCCCAACCCTGCGCCACTACAGCCCTCTCCCCCCACCTTCTCAGACTAGCAGCTCCCTCCTGAGACATCCGAAAAACCCACTGTCCCCCCCCCAAACTACCCCCTAAACTATGATGAATAGGTTTCACAGCCTCGGGCCCCACCAAAGTCTGATCTCTTATTACACTGTCTTTAGAAAATTATGCAGCTCCGAGCTCCAGTTCATGCTCCCAATCTACTGTCATTCACACACATCAGGACTTGGGGATATGAAATCGCCTTCAGGGTCATTTGAGAAAATTATGGAAATGACACTTTCCCTGATGGAGGGTAGCCCCCCTTGGGGCTGCGGGATAGCACTTCCTTGGTCTTTTGTCAGGGGACAGGTCCAACTGGGTCAGGCTGAAAGGGTCTTGAGGGGTTTCGTGAAGCAAGAATCAGAGCAGCATGAATCAGATCACACATAATGGGCAAAGAACATTTACCCATTGATCACGCAGGGCCCATCCTTTTTCTGACAGTCCTTTCCGGAGAACCCAGGGGCGCAGGAACACTCATACTGGCCGTTATCAAGGTTCACGCAAGTTCCGTTGTTAGCACAGGGGGTCGAGGTACAAGCCCGGATGTCTGGGTTGGGGGTGGGTGGGGAAGGGGGAGGGAAAGAAAACCACAGCTTGTCAGTCCCTCCCCCAGAAAGATGACAGGGACACAGGCTGGAAGGGGAGCTTCCCAGATGGAGACGGGAAGACAGACCCCTCCAGCTGATCAAGGGGGGGGGACCCCAAATGAGCTGCCTAGATGTCTGCTCGTGGCCACTGCCAACAGTCACCAAGGGGGGGCCTGAGTAAGAAAGAGGGTGTACTGACCACCCAAAACCCTGAAGTGAGTACACAGCTCAGGGACCTGAAGGGCCTTTCTCGTGATAGGTCGTGGAGACAGGAAGTCATGGCCGCCTGCTTGCTGACATTCAACCCAGGATTGCTGTACTTTGCTCCAGGGGACCAGGTCCTCCTTAAGTCCACCACCATGACCTTCACCGCAGACCCTTCCCTCCCGCAAGCATACAGGCTGAGGTTCCCTGAAGCCTGCCTCCTCTAGACAGCTTTTCACGTCCAGCTTCTCATGGTTGGGGGGCGGGGACTGCCGCTGGGGGGACTAGCACGGCCCAACTGTTAGAAACATCAGCTGTCCTTCATACTGTTCTCTCACACCGGGGCAGGGGGGAAAAGGAGATGTGAAGACACCCGTTGGGAACCAAAAAACCTGATTTAGCCCCAGCACTGCCTCCACCTCCTGGTGGTCTCTTCACTCTCAGGTTCTGAACTAAGGGGCGCCACGATGAAAAGGCTGCTTTTGAAGGTGGCAAGAGGAGAACTATTGAGCCCTTTCCTGTCAGCGTGCGTTTCCATGAGCACGGGTATATTCCCACTGTCTTTCTACACCTCCCATCAGGCACACTTCATTATCCCAGGCTCAGCAAGCCAGGGATGAGCTGAACAAAGGGGCCGGGGTCAGGGGCTCTCTGACAGTGCAGACCCCGGCCTTCCCTGCCCCACCCCCCCAGCTGGGCCAGGGAGGGAACAATCCTATGTCCATCTCCAGCCAGCTGCAGAGTCCAGCCCCTCCCCAACCTGTGCCTCACTTTCCCCACTTATAAAAGGAGGAGATCTCCCTGGCCAGTCTCTGAGGAACGTTTCAGCTTTGGTTTTCTACCAAATAGAAAGCCAGGTCCAGCATGAATTCAGGCAGACTGGGGGTGAGGGTGGGGGTCCCAGTGCTGAGGCCACAAATGCAGACTTTCCCCTCCATTACAGAACCTCACACCCTCGTGGAGGGGAGATGGCAAGCAATCAATAAGGAAAAGCCTGACCGCCTTGCTGATGGCGTATCCTGAGCCCAGGAGGCGTTCCTTGGGAGCTGGGCTGGGAGCACACGAACATAAAGAGGATTTATCATTATGGGAAGGAGGCGTGAGCACGGGGAGCCTCTGTGGCCAGTTCCTAATCCTCATCTCCCTGCTCTGTTGTCACTGGGAATCTGAAATTTAGGCTAAAGAGCTGGCCACCACCCTACTTCTGTCCCCATGGTGTCAAGCCTTCCTCAGCAGAGGCTAAGCCCGCCTTTCCCAAGGAGAGGGCTGCCCGCAGTTGTTTTTTTTGGGGGGTGGGGGGTGGGGGAGGTCTCAGCCGGGGCAGCAGCTGTGGCTGTGACAGCCTCAAAGGCATGAGAAAAGGGGAAAGGGAGAGGGCCCTCAATTACCCAAAGGGCTATTTCCTGGACCTAGCATCCCAAGCTGAGAGCCTTTGTCAGCCCAGTGCGGAGGGGGGACTGTGTCTGGAAACCCCTTGGGAAGTCCTGGGCTTAGACACCAAACTGGGCGAGCTCCAGGCTGAAAGCCCTGATCCCGGATGGTGCCATCTTTGGCATCCCCTGGTCCCTAAACAGCTAGCGCTATTGCGAGGGTGGAGGGTTCCGGTGCTGAGGGGCAGAGAAGCTGCAGACCAGAGGGTGAGTCAGCTGCGGGTAAAGCCCTGCACCGTGGGGGGCGGGGGGACTGTGAGGACCCAAGATAATGGCGGGGCTCCATTTTGAAAGTCTGCTGCCCTCAGGTTTTCCTTAAGGGAGGGTGTTAGAAAAAACCCAGGTGAGAATGGACCCATTCCTGGGGCTGGGGGAGGGGGTTTTAGCTGTCTCTTTGGCCAACTTCTGTGTCCATGAGCAGATCCTTTTGCTTCTCTGAGCCTCCGTTTCCCTAATTGTACCACTTGTCTCTGCTAATGTTGGGGACAGAGGGACAGAGGCCCTGCGGCATTGCCCAGGCTGCCGGAGTTTTTTTTCGAGGACTTCAGTCTGCCTGGGCTTCCGGGCAGGTTTTGCCAAATGAGAATGGGCTCAGATGAACATTTGCAGCCTGAAAATGCAGCGACAGCCAACTCTCAATTGCTCGGGGTAAAGGAGGACAAAGATTGCATAAATTAATGAAATCAACAGCTAACACCAAATCGCACTTTAACCACTTCTCAGCCTTTCCCAGCCCCCAGCCTCCCCTACACCTGAGCCCTTCATCACAGCCCCCAGCCAGGTCCTAGCGGCCCTGACTCAGCTCCTTCTGCCCACCACTCAGCATCGACAGACCCCCTCCCGCCCCCATTTGTTTGTTGTTTGTTTGCTTTCTGCAGCCTCCGTCACAATCTCACATGTAAATCTGTTGGGAGTCTTTGCTCTGCGACCCCCATCCCACCTCCAGCACTCCTTTCCCCTACTTGAGCTGCAGTAACCTGGACAGGTTATCCAGGTCTCTGCTCCCCATCTTCTCAACTTTGTGTGGAATGTGTTTATTTTGTGACTCTTTATTCAACAGGCAGCTCCCCCCCCCGCAACACCCTCCTCAGTGCCTTCTCCAGGTGCTGGGTGGGTGCTGGGTGCCGGTGGTGCAGAGGGGAGCAAAATTATGTCCCTACCTGTGAGGGGGCTCCCACCACCAGTGGGAAGTGTATGAACAGGTCATTACCACACAGAATGCACCTGGTGTGTATTGGAATAAGGCTGGAGAGGAGGCAGCCACAGGGCTGGGGGGAGGCGCGTGGGGCAGAGGGCAGAGCTGGGGGTGGGCAAGGGCAGGGTGCGTGCCAACCTATGTCGCAGAGGTTCCCGTCCCAGCCATCGTCGCAAATGCACTGCCAGGGTTCCACGCAGAGTCCGTTAACACAGCCAGGAAAGGTCATGCATTGGTCACAGAGGGGACCCTGCCAGCCAGGCTGGCACCTGCGTGTGGGAGGGGAAAAGATGGGGACATATGAGGGGGGCAGGGGTGAAGAGGGGAGCCCAGGCTGCTTTCTGTGGAACCAAGGGCCCTTGGGGTCTTCGCACAGGGCTGGGCCAGTGAGTCCCAGGAAGCAAACACCAGTCACCTGAATGAAAAGCTTAAACAGAGGACCAACTGAGGAGCAGACAGAGGGGTCCCTGAGAGCCCAGGATAATGCTGCGTTTTGCCGCAGTGGCCTGCAGTGGTCTCATCCTGCAAGGGCTCTCCTGCCACCCCACTTCTGAAAAAGCAAACAGGAGCTGTGGCTGTCCCCCCACAATCCCGTCCTCTCTCCCCTCACTGCCTCCACCAGTTTCCTGGGGGGGTGAGGAAGCTGTTGCAGCCCAGACCAAGCACCCCCTCTTTTCTGCCTGACACCATGACTCCCCAGGATTCTGGCCCCCCCCCACAAGCTGGCTGCCTCTGGGGAGCCACTCCATTACCTGCAAACATTGTCATCCTCGCAGAATCCATTTTGGGGATGGCAGGCCGGAAAGCATTCAGCTCCTGAGGCACAAGAAAGGTTACACCGTTCACCCCACAAGGCCCCAGAGGCCAAAGCAAAGCCCATGGCGTCCCTCAATGGAGCCCACGACCCTCTGCAGTCCTGCCGGCCTGGCACACAGTAGGCACTTCATATCAACCCACTCAGAAAAATTCTCTGCCACATTCCTTGTTATGGAGTGACCACAGTCTATTGCCTAGTTCTCAGAAGCAGGTCAGACGTCTCATTTCCCCCCAACAAAATAAGAAACCCTAAGTCTTAAAATTGGGGATGGGGACACAGTGGATGGGAAGATTTTGACCCTTGGGTACTCAGCCAAACCCTCACTTGCGTGAGCTAAAAGGGGAGCAGACTTTCAGCTATTCATCTCTGAGAAAGCCCAGACAGGTTCACCTGGTGGCTCACAGGTAAGGTGTCTGGGTTTTTTTTAAGGGTCCATCCCAGCTAAGCCAGGTACCCAGGTCAAATTCCCCAACTTCCCCGACCCCACACTGTTCGTGTTTAAAAAACACGCAAAGGTTTTACAGAGCTGACTGCAATTCTGACACTATTTAAACATTCTGACACTTCAAGAGGAGCCTACTGTGTGCATTTACTTCAACCTGCTGTCCAGCTTTCCAGACAGCCCCTCCATAACCATTGGTGCAGTGGGGGCGGGGGCCACTGCAGGAAGGGGGCAACTCTCTGGCTGTCAGAGACAGATGGCCGCTGCAGACAGAAGTGTCGCAGCCCCTCACCTAGAGAAACGTCACTTCACGCAGAGGCTCAGGCTGGGCTCCTGGATGGGAATTTGGGACGACGACGGCAAAGTCACCCCCCACTATCCCCACAGACCTGTTCCCCAGCGCGCACACAGGAGCACCCTAAAGTTGCACCCCAAAGCATTTTCACAGAGGACTCCCAGCATCATCTCCTCTCTCCATACCTCCAGTCTCAGCGCACCGACACCCCTCGGAGTGCCACTTCCGCGGGGCGGGAAGGGGCTGGGGACCCCACACCTCTCCTGTCCCCGGGGACTCCCAGGGCCGGGCTTGGCATGCAAGGGTGGCGGGGACGGTGAAGCAAACAAGGAGCGCGGCTTAGGGTTAGGTGGGACGGGCGGGAGTTGGGGCGCATGGGACGGGGCGCGCCGGTCACCAGGCGGCCAGAGGGGCGTCGCAGGCTTCCCCAGAGGGGGCGCGAGCCGGGCCGCCGGGGGGCTCACCATGGGCACTGTGGCCGAAGGCCAGCAGGAGCGAGAGGACGGGCAGGAGGGCTGCGGTCGCGGTCATCGCGGGGCGGCCGGGGTCGCGGTCCTGGTAGCGGCGCGGGCGCGGGTCCGGCTCCGGGCGCCGCGCTGGGCTTCTGGTTGCGGACGCGGAAGGGGGCGCGGGCGCGCGGCGAGGGGAAGGCCAGGGCTGCACCGGGCTGCGCGCTGCGCTCTCCAATGCCGCCGCCGCCGC